GTGGGGTTGGTGCGCTCCCAGTTGGGTTGGGGAGCTCCCAGTTGGGTTATTGAGCTCCCAATTGGGTTGTTGAGCTCCCAGTTGGGTTGGGGAGCTCCCAGTTGGGTTGGGGAGCTCCCAATTGGGTTGGGGAGCTCCCAGTTGGGTTTGTGACATTCCAATTAGGCTTATGACCTTTCAATTAGGCTTATGATCTCCCAGTTGGGTCTGGGCACTCCCAGTTGGGTCTGGGCACTCCCAGTTGGGTCTGGGCACTCCCAGTTGGGTTGGTGAGCTCCCAGTTGAGTTTATGATCTCCTAGTTGAGTTTATGACCTCCCAGTTGGGTGGCTGAGCTCCCAGTTGGGTCCAGGCCCTCCCAGTTGGGTCTGGGCCCTCCCAGTTGGGAGTCTGAGCTCGTGGCTGTGGTTCCCAGTGTGATCCTGGAGGTTCCGGTGACGGAGGACGAATTCCTGGAGCAGCTGCGGGAGCTGAACGGGAAGATCGAGGCCGTGAAGGAACAAGCATTCCGGGACACCTTGGCCTGCGCCGACAGTTGGGTCTGGGCCCTCCCAGTTGGGAGTCTGAGCTCGTGGCTGTGGTTCCCAGTGTGATCCTGGAGGTTCCGGTGACGGAGGACGAATTCCTGGAGCAGCTGCGGGAGCTGAACGGGAAGATCGAGGCCGTGAAGGAACAAGCATTCCGGGACACCTTGGCCTGCGCCGACGTCCAGCACGTCGAAACTCAAGTCAAGATCAAGGTGGGAAGAGCCCAAAGGTCTTGGGAATAACCTTGGAATTCCAAGGGGAATCCAGAGAATCCCTAGGGGAATTTCTCTTGGGCACTGGGATGGACTGGGAGGGAGTGGGAGATGAGTCCTGGTGTCCAGCACGTCCTGGAGAAACTCAAGATCAAGGTGGGAAGAGCCAAAGGTCTTGGGAATAACCTTGGAATTCCAAGGGGAATCCAGAGAATCCCTAGGGGAATTTCTCTTGGGCACTGGGATGGACTGGGAGGGAGTGGGAGATGAGTCCTGGTGTCCAGCACGTCCTGGAGAAACTCAAGATCAAGGTGGGAAGAGCCAAAGGTCTTGGGAATAACCTTGGAATTCCAAGGGGAATCCAGAGAATCCCTAGGGGAATTTCTCTTGGGCACTGGGATGGACTGGGAGGGAGTGGGAGATGAGTCCTGGTGTCCAGCACGTCCTGGAGAAACTCAAGATCAAGGTGGGAAGAGCCAAAGGTCTTGGGAATAACCTTGGAATTCCAAGGGGAATCCAGAGAATCCCTAGGGGAATTTCTCTTGGGCACTGGGATGGACTGGGAGGGAGTGGGAGATGAGTCCTGGTGTCCAGCACGTCCTGGAGAAACTCAAGATCAAGGTGGGAAGAGCCAAAGGTCTTGGGAATAACCTTGGAATTCCAAGGGGAATCCAGAGAATCCCTAGGGGAATTTCTCTTGGGCACTGGGATGGACTGGGAGGGAGTGGGAGATGAGTCCTGGTGTCCAGCACGTCCTGGAGAAACTCAAGATCAAGGTGGGAAGAGCCAAAGGTCTTGGGAATAACCTTGGAATTCCAAGGGGAATCCAGAGAATCCCTGGGGGAACTTTCTTTGTGCGCTGGGAGCACTGGGATGGACTGGGAGGGACTGGGAAATGAGTCCTGATGTCCAATATGTCCTGGAGAAGCTCCAGATCAAGGTGAGAAGGCCCAAAATTCCTTGGAATTCCCCTTGGAATCCCAAAGAGGAATTTTTCCAAGGGAGAAAAAACTTGGGAGAAGCTTTTCCAAGCACTGGGATGGACTGGGAAAGACCCTGGGATGAACTGGGGTGACCAGTGGGTACTGGGATGAACTGGGAGTGAGTCCAACCCCTTAATTCCCACTTTTCCTGGTCTTTTGTCCCAAATCCTCCCCCAAAATCTGGGAATTCTTCCAGAATCGCCTCCGGGAGGAACTGGCATGAAGTAGAGACCACTGGGACAAACTGGGAGCACTGGGAAGGGCTCCAACCCCTCCAATTCCCACTTTTCCCCCCTAATTCCCATTTCCCCCCCTAATTCCCACTTTTCCCCTCTAATTCCCACTTTTCCCCTCTAAGTCCCATTTCCCCTCTAATTCCCACTTTTCCTCCTCTAATTCCCACTTTTCCCCCTGTAATTCCCACTTTTCCCCTCTAATTCCCACTTTTCCCCCTGTAATTCCCACTTTTCCCCCTCTAATTCCCACTTTTCCCCCTCTAATTGCCACTTTTCCCCTCAAATTCCCATTTCCCCTCAAATTCCCACTTGTCCCCCTATAATTCCCACTTTTCCCCCTCTAATTC